CCCCCCCCCCCCCCCCCCCCCCCCCCGAATGTAGCTCACAGAAAGAAGCCGAGAGAGGGGGGAGGGGGGGGGGAGAGTCAGCGACCGAAGGACCAAGGGGCAGATGGCCTGGCCTTGTATCCGAGCTTTGGCTTGGGGCGAGCCCAGACCCCTTCGGGCCGGGGCAGGGCGAGGGCGCCGACCGGCAGGCAGGGTAAGCGAGGCAGGCCCGGGCCAGGCAATCGACCCAAGGATGGGCGCCCTGCCATGTGCACTTGGCCGCATGAAAACCCCCATGAGTGCCCCGATGTGCCTTGCCTCCCCCGCCAGGGTCTTTTCCGGCGGTGGCCGCCGCCCGGCGGGCAGCGGGCTTGTTTGGCCACGGAAGCCGGGAAAACATGCTACGCTGGCCGCTGTACAACGCGCTCCGGACGGGGGAAGGGGGGGGGGGACCCGCACAGCCGGGCGTCCCGCGTCCGGACTGTCCGCCCGCCTCGACAGGCATCGTCGGCGACGCGGCACGAGGCACGGGCAAATGGTCAGCCGCCCTTGCCGGGAGTCATCCCATACCGTTCACCACCTGCGGAGCGGGAGGGGACGAGGCCCACCAAGCCGAAGGGGGAAGCCGGTCCAGGCAGCTTCGAGGGGGGCGCGAGCCTCGGACGCCTTTGAGCGCCGGCGCGACTGAGAACGCCGCCGGCAAGGGGAGTGTGCCTACGGGCCCCAGCCCGCTGGACGAGGAGACGTGTGAATGGCGAGCAACCCGCCGAAGGACGGGACAGGGCCTCTGTTCGATCTTTGCGCACGCCCCCCCCCCCCGTATACCCCTCCTCACAGAGGCAGACAGCCCAGCCCCGGGGCGTATATATGTGTTTGTGTGTGCGTGTACGACGCGCCTGCCCGGCCGGCCGATGCGCGCACGCGCTAACATACCGACCTCCTTGGGAGCGCCGCCGTGAGCCCGCCTACCCGTGCCTGGATCTGCGTGAATATCTGCCCCCCCCCCCCCAGCGCACACCCCCGATCCAAGGTATACCCCCCGTTGCCGTTTGAGGGACCCGCGCCGCGCCCAGGCTTGAAGTCCGGGACCGGCCGGACTCTGGCTAAGAAGGAGGCGAGGGGGGGGGGGGGGACCTTTAACCCCCGCCCTCAACCAGCCCGTTCCCCCACGCGCGCACCCTGGAACCAGCCAGGGGACCCGAATAAGCGGACATGCCAACTGGATCGCCCAGTCACCGTCTGCCAGGCCATTTTCCATGAGATCCGCTCATTTCACGCACTGACTCGCCCATGCACAGACTGGCGGCCGGGCGGCCGGGTGGGCGGACGGGGGGGGGGGGGGGGATACACGGCCGCGAACAAAAGCCCGTGGAACGCCAAGAGGGGCAGCGAACGCTGGGGGGGCGTTTCCCTGCGCCCGTCCCGGATAATATATTCGGCCCGTTCCGGCGTCCCGGACGCGAGGACCGCGGGCCAGGACACAATGGCCTCTTAACCAGCCGGCGGAATCTGCCATGAGAGATTGGGGCAGCAGTCGATCGGCAGCCCATGGCCGGGCTTTGCGGTGCCCGGTGTGTGATTTGCATTGGAGTCATGTGATGTGAGACAACACGCCCAATCGGCATCCGTTGATGTTGTTGTTTTTTTTTTCTTTTTCTTTTTCGCCTTTCTTTTGTTTTCCCGTTCCCCCCCCCCCGTAGCCCGCATGCACAGCCCCGGTGTAACACCGCTTCAACACCGGTGGAAAGCTGGTGTCTCGTTCCCGGGCTGGGGCCGCGTACAACGCACGATAATGCCACTCTTGCAGCATGAAAAACCCCAGCCGGTCCCCATCGGAATGGCGGCTCGTGCCTTCTGCATGCTGGAGCAGGAAGGAAGGGTGCCGACAGGGCAAGAGGGGGGAGGAGAAGGGAGAGGGAGAGGAAAGGTGAAGCGATTGTCTATATTTAAAGAGAAGTATGGCAGTGGGAGTAGGACTCGCTGGGAAGGGGAGGGGAGGGGGGGGGGGAAGGGGCGAGACACACCGATGCGCACCCTTGAGTGAAGGCCGCTAAAAAAGGGACACACCCATGCCATGGGATGCCTGTGCATGCACATGCGCGTGTGAGGGAGGGGGGGGGGAG